AATAATTCAAAATAAAAATGCACCTTAATTTAGATTTACTTGGAATGACAGATGGCATTTTCAGTCAAACTTAAATCTCAATCAACATTTTTAATGATTAACATTGGATTATTTAATGTTAGGGGTAAATATGTCACATTTTAATTACTTTAGAGGCGAAATTGTTATGACAATATTTTAGCACACTTCAAAAGTAAAAATGCATCTTAGCTTTGGAATAAACATGTGAGAACTAGCCACCATTTTCAGATCAGCTGCTGCCCGTGCATATAGTTTATTAAGAGTTAAGGCCCAGCATTCTCTAATTATCTGAATAAGAATATCTTGGTTTTCGGTATCAGGAGTTAGGCTGGGAAATATATACTGTGACCCGTTGATGACTTCTGCTGGACACAAAATAACTTCCAGACAGAGGTGGACTCCAACGCCTGTGCAGCTTCAAATTCTTGAGCGTATATTTGATCAGGGGAATGGAACTCCAAGCAAGCAAAAAATCAAAGAGATAACTGCTGAACTGAGCCAGCATGGCCAGATTTCTGAAACAAATGTCTATAATTGGTTCCAGAATAGGCGTGCCCGGTCAAAAAGAAAGCAGCAAAATGTGGCACCTAATAACACTGAATCTGAAGTAGAGACTGAAGCTGAATCTTCCAAAGATAAGAAAACAAAACCCGAGGAGTTTCAGTCTCAGCTTAGTGCATCAACCAGGGCTGAAGATTTGTGCTTCCAGAATCATGAAGTGTGTTCCGACTTGCACTATTTGAATCCAGAGTCCTGTAAACCAGAATCCATGTTCCCATCAGATGGCAGTCTGAAAAATACAAGAAGTTTCGGCCAAATGTCTGTTTTTGATGGAATGCTGTCAAACTCGAGTAAGTAATCAATATAATTTGTGGTGAACCAAGTAATATAGTTGTAACACATTGAATCGATTAAGTGAAAATTCATCAGAAAAATATTGGTTAACTGAGTAATGTAGTTGCATAAATTTCCTTTTTTATGGTGCTGCTTTCATAAATTTTTTGACAAATAAGCATTTCCTGATTTTTATTTTTAATTCCAACTTTTACAGATTAATTTTACCTTTTGAATGGAATTATTAATGACGAGTCTTTGAACGACATGTTCCATCCTCATGAATCTTTGATTGCAATATGCACGGATCACAGTCTAGCAATGGGAGGTTTAAATAATTTTTTTAATGGCATTATTTGGCTCGTTCCATAAAAGTCATTCTACTAGCACATTTGGAAGTATCCTCACTTGTCATTGCCAAGGGAACAGATTATTTACCCACTGATTTGGGGCTTTGGGCCCTTTAATAATTGAAGTTACCCTATCCTTACCCTATAGATCAAGAAGTTATTATACTTTCTCAGATGATCCTTCTCCTCTCTTCCCTCTCTTTCTACACACACATATAAATTTACTATCCTGGAATTGACGATCAAGACTGCTATTACAACCCAAATCTATTTTGCAGGGGATGTCTATATCGCTGGAAAAATGCAAGTGCCAGGAAGCTACAATTTATACCAGCAAGCTGGAGACTACAACATGACGGGCTGACGCGCTCTGTAAATTCTGACATCGATTACTTGAAGCTGTAAAGAATCCAGAGTGGGGTTTTGGGCCTGTCTTGGAGTGGAACGACAATTCGTCCTATGAAAATCTGGAAACTTAGAAACCTTGATTTAGATTTCTTGTATAATAGAAGTGTTTAAACTTTAACTGGAGAATGGCATATAGGTTTGACATCATATTGTGAAGTTTGTTTTTTCGTTACGTACTGAATACTGAAATACTGCGGTATCATTTGCACTTGGAATGGTCTTTTGGGTATTTTGCTGAAAGAGATGCTTTGGAATGATAGTACTTTGATCTTGTCAGCTTGCTGTCATCCTTTTTATGCCTTCGTTTGCACTTTTCAAAACTAAGCTGTATATTTTTCCCCTTCTAAACAATTAAGCTGCAGGGTTTTTTGGGCCCAGCGCATGCATTTTTTCCCCCCTAGCACAACGATAAAATATTTGATTTTGAACAACCAAATATTAGTAACACTGGATGTTCGTTCAAGCGATATACCGCAGATAAAATCATTGTTCATTTGTCTATTTTTTTTTGCGTCATAATGTTAGATGTTACTTTTCAGATCTTATTTACAAGGACTAAGGCATACATTTATTTTTTTTGACTTTACACAACGTTTTCCATTAATTCTTTAATTTTAATACTGTTAGTTTTATCAAAATAAATTTTTATATTGAACTTTTAAATATTAACAACGTATTTTCAAATAATGAGATATTAAATTTAATTTTTTAAAAATAATAATAATTGATATAAAAAATAATCATTAAAAACTAATGATATTAGGGTTAAAGAATTAAAAAAATACTTTATAAAATTAAAAAAATTAAATTGAAACTTTATATAAAGTTAAAGAATTAAAAACGTATTTTAGCATATTTATAAGTTATTTTTAATATGTTTTATCAGAATTAAGAAAAATCTTAAAATTTATTAATTATGTCTAGCAATTTAATAATTTCTCAACTTTACCTTATTAAATATGCATATTTTAACTATATGTTTTCTTTCTACAATATTTAATGAAGGGAAAATGGAAAAACTTATGATACAAATTTAACAAACTGACTTATAAATAAAACACAATTTCATTTAGCTAGCCAAACTTGACAGATTAAATTATTATCAAGAAACCCAAACCGGACTGATTGATGAACCAGAATCCAGCGCCTAATCCATAAAATAAAAAAGAAAAACGTTGAACCGGACCAAACAAAAAGCAATTTCAACCCAATAAACCGGCCAAAAACCAGATCAAAACTGGACGGGTCAGAAAAATATTAAAAAAATAACAAAAAAAGTGCAAAAATAAAACTAACTATTAACTAAAAAATTTAAAAACTTTTATGAAGTGTCACCCATATGAATTTCTAAACATCCTATCCATAATGCTAGAGTGGAAAATAAGGATTAAGTCTGAAGGCTTTATTTAAATAAGAGTTTAAATTATAAAAATTAATTTTTTTTAAAGTAACAGAGTTTGAATGCTTGACCCTGATAAACCCTGTGAAAAAAAATTTAAACTCGGGTGACCCTTCAAGCTCTGATAAGCTGGGTTATCTCATATTTATATTTTTATATATATACACTACATATATATATTTGACTAATAATGACACAATGTAGTTAATATTTATTGTAGGTAATGAAGAAGAAGTTGAAGAGATAATTGACATTAAATTTTTACCTCTATCTTCAACAAGTGGACTTACATATGAGGGATTTGATATTCTATTTTTAAATGATGATGAAGAAGATTTATATTTACATTAATGAAAATTTTAATCTTTATTTTAAATTTTAAAATTTAAATCTCTATCAAATTTTATGTGAGGTTCTAATTTATTTTATATTAAATTTTAAATATTATGTTTAAATTAAAATATTAATTTTTTTTAAAATGAGGGCTTAAGGGTCCAATCCTAAATCTTATAAATAAAGGTCAAGTTTTAAAATTAAATTAAATTTTAGATAATCATACTTTAAAGTTTGAGCATTTAACGGCCGAACCTGCCTCGATTTTCACATTTAACAAGCACCTCTTCCTCCCGCAATGTGGGGCTAAGTATTGCCATTGAAAAACATATATAGTCCCAACCTACATGTCCGTTTGACTGTTTCTTTTTCTTTTCTTAAAATTTCTCCTGTTCTATTTTTATGTGAGTTCCTTATGAACATCTCTTTTATCTTTGTTATTCCGGCTATTTGTTTATATTTTTTTCGTATGATATCAGTTTAATTTATTTATAACGTGTGAGTTCCCTAAACAAATAAGCATGTACCTCTTTCATCTCTTTTTAAATAGATTCTTTCAACTCATTTCTTTACATGTGAATATCTTTTTCATCTATATCCAACCAATACTCATTTCCATATCTTTTCAAACAAATTTAGTTTTTATCTCCTTTAAAAAATATTTTAAACCATCTCCAAAATATTAACAATGATTTTGAAACTCTAAAAAAATATAAGAGAATTAATTTTAATTTCTTTATAATATTTAAATATATTAATTTAATTATAACTAATTTAACCTTGATATAATCATTAAACTGTGAATCAGTGTTTTAAACAGTTCAATTCAATGATGATCCAGTTCTAATGATAATAATTGTAAGACGGCAACCAATGTTACACCAGGTTTGAATCTGTTAGGAATAATGTTTCCTTTCTAGCCTTTTACTGTGCCTGCCCGGGCTGCCAAGTGACAGAGAACCACGTGTGCCTGAGTTCAATGAAAAAAGGTTCGAGTCCAATTAATTAACATCCATACACCTGCATGTGATAGAAAAGCTTGCACAGCCATCATCTTTAAATGATAGAATCCTTTGCTCCTTTCCTTTTTCTTTTAGGCTAACTCAATAGTCCTGACGCTAGAAGTAAGAAAATGAAAGATACAAAGTATTTTAACATCAATCCAGTGCCTAGTATTTGTTTATCCATGTTTCGTAGTTGCTTATCCTCATTCACAATATTGCCAACATTTTAATGAAAAATTAAAATTTTGGAAAACAAAAAACGCAAGTTTTAAGTACTATTTGAAATTATTTTTACCTTATTTTAAAAATTGATATTTTGTAAAATATATTCTAAAAATAAAAAAATAATAAAAATAAATATTTTTTTTCATCCTCTTGTTCTCTAAAACAATAATATTAAAACATTTAAAAATTGTTTTCATAATAATATTTTATTTTTTATTTTTTAAAACATTTTTTATAAATACGTTGTCAAAATTTTTTTTATTCTTTTATTTTGAAAAATAAAAAACTATTTTAAAACAGGTTGCCAAATAAACTCTTAAGTTCTACTTTTGTGAAAAACATTTCAAATGGAAGCATTTGATCTTCAAATACTTGCTCATCTCAAATTTGGAAAATACTTGAAAAATGGCCATAATTAACAAAACCTTGAAGAAGAGGGAAAAATGATCTCCACTACGATGTCATACCCCATTCTTGAAGATGACAACGAAACGTTTTCAAGACGAGAAGATAACGACATACATTATGTACAGTTCTACGCACTGAATTTCTGTGATGGCTACTACTGCATTATCATTAGAATTAAAGTTGATAAGGTACAAAATCAGTTGATTCCTCGGCATCAGAATCCATGAACTCTATCCACTTTCTTCCGCCCTAGTCTCTTGTCCAAACAAGCACTATGAGCTTTGTTTACATCCACAGGTGCAATTCTCGAGTTCTTTGTGGAGCTTCTGAGAGGGAGAACAAAAAAAAAAGTGAGGGTTGTTGAAGGAAGGTGATCAACTTAGATAAGAAGAAATATCAAATGTTAATGAATGTTTCAGTCCACACCTTGTGATTCTTCTAATGCGTTCATTATGATGTGCGTGACTATTTCATGATATTAGAAAACATTCCCACCCGCTTTTTCCAAAATATATTTTCAGTTTCCTACCGTCCAATTCCATTTAACTAGTACTATTACCCAGAAAAACTGTTCCGATTTCTTTTCTGCAAAAGAGGAATTGTTTGTCGGAGAAGCAAAATGCATCAAGATTATAAGAACCAAGGTGGCATACCCAGTGTACAGCGTAATGATGATTGAGAGAGGTATCTGAATAATAACCACCAATTGCTTACTATAAAACATGACTGGCCATAATTTTTCTATACCAAGCTGAATAGACCAAAGAAACAAACGTGGCCCAATTTTGTTGAAATTATAGAGACTGAAAACACTAAAAAAAAAAACTTCAAAGATTAAAAGCAAAATCTGATAAAACAAAATCAATAATTATTGTTTTCCCTAAAAATAAAGAAATAACATTCGGGTGAAGGGGAAATGCATATGAGCAAGACCATCAGGGAAGTTTTACCAAGAACATAAAAATGATTTTAAGTTAATTTGTTGATATAAATAAAACATATAGAATATTCTGCAATATTAATTCTATTTTTACACACCTGGACTTGAGTTTGTAGGCCTTTGATATGTTGAACAGCCAAATCCAGCATGTCTGCGTAGCTTGTTTGCTGGGATGTCATTTTAAACACAAGGTCAAGCCAATCGAAAGGTATTGATACTGATTCAACATACAAAACATTATATGATGCTAATGGACATGCTCCATTATTTCAAAGCGAAGCAACCTAGTTTTGCAAAAGGTTTGTACACCTCAAATCATGTTTCTCATTGCATGACTTGTATACCAAGAGTGGAGGTTAAAAAGTTACGTCTGCAGAAATAATCATTTATGAATTAAATAAAATTTACTCTGCATAGTCACAAACCATGCAGAGGAAACAAAATTGTGCTTGCTCTGAAACTCAGTACTGAGGAAGAACAGACTTTAATGATGAATAGCAAATGCTAGCGTGTGAACAATCGTAATGAGCTTTTCTTTTCCAAGCTAGATGTTATGTCATTATTTACGTGTGAGGCTCAACATCAATTCCAGATTCATTTATTAATTTAATGAAAAAGCGAATAGAAAAGTAGCATCTTATCCGTAATCTAAGTAAATCAAACGCAGCTGCTGTTCTTCTCATGTCCTTAGACATAAGCAAAGCAACAATGTTGAGATTGCAGTAAGAAGGTTAAATTTCCAAGCTGATAGCATGCCTTAAGCATCAGCGATAGCTAAAGAGAGGTAGTAGGAACAGATGGCATAATCAAGGAAGAAATTGCAATTACCTTGTCCATATTAGGCACCAGCTCTTGCAGCTTCTTCAGCTTTCCACTAATTCTAGTTCTTCTCTCCTGTACACATGAACAATCATCAAAAGAAGTAAATGATTTTTAATGAGTTAATATAATGCATGCAACAAAGTCAACCTTTTCATCTTGTCCCATTAAGTAACCAACACATAAGACACTTCAGGGACAAGAAAGTAAGAAAGGGGGGAAAAAAGAGGTTAAGTAGCTGGAAGCTAAGACCTCCAAAATGATCAGCAGGTATCTAACTAGCTCACTTTGATTTGATTAAAAAGAATTAGTAAGAAAGAAGGAATGCCATTATGCTGATAAAACAAATTTAACATGCCCATTGAACCGAGAAATGACGCATGCCATCATGCAGATAAAATGTCAAGGACCCTATTTCAAAGAAAATTTCCTGACCCGTTCCGCAATGCTTCTTGGATGAGTAGCACAGCCTCGCTTAGCACGAATTTTACATGGGACAGAATCTTCAGGAATATGAAGTAGCTTCTCCACTGCTGCCATTTCCAGAGTTGTTTGTGGCAGACTAAACTGAAGTGGACAATTCAGTCAATATGACAAAAAGTGAAACAGCTAATTTAGTCTACTTCAAAACTGTTAGATTGTAGTATCGGCTGCAATAAGTTCAAGGGCTATAAAATATTGAATGGATATTAATCCCCCCCAACCCCTCAATTGGTTAACATGTTATGAGCAAATTCAGATGCATTTTCTCCTCCTCTTTCTCCCTTCCACTTACTCGGGTCCTTCCTAATCATTCCCCCCTTTTATGACAGAAAGAAAATCATTTTCAATACTTTAGAAGAATTGAGATCCTGTACAGTTCCATATTGAATACATACAGCGCAGCCAGATAGAACTAACGAGCCAGAAAAACGAAAAAGAAAAGGATTAGTGTAAAGATAGATGGCGAGTCTCATATGATTTGATAAGCGCATGATTGCCAAGAATCCAATTTCATTTTGGAAGAGTCCAGATTGTCTCAATTTGTGAAGCAAAAATGAGTTATTTTGAACAAATTATGATGATCAAAATCATTTGAGAAAAAAGGAAACAGACAAACTAGATTCAGGAAACAAACAATTTTGCCCAAATGGTCTAGACGGTCAAGATTTGCTTTAAAATAATTCATTATTCCTCTAAAAATTGAGATCATCCATACATTTTTTTTCCAACTTATGGTTCATTGATTCTTCTGTTAAACCCAGGAATATAGTTTACATTAAGATCCATCTTCATTGAATCCTTCGAAAGAAACTTCTTACCTGCGATTCCAAGGCATTAAGACAGTTCAGAATGTCTCCATCTATACTCTTAGCACGTTTACTAGAGGGAGCAGAAAACACAATGGAGTTTGAACCATCCCAGGTTTCAATTCCAAAGCTGGTTGTGGCGTAAGAATGTGTAGCTCTATGGTGGCCATTGTCAGAGTTGATGCCATCAACATTTTCGTTCACCTCAGATATCTGAGAAAGAGATTCTTGCCCTGTGAAGCTCAATTGAGATTTTAGCCTTGATATTCCATGACCACTATTGGAGACGCCTTGTGCGCTATAGCTTCCACTCCCCCTTGAAATTGAAAAGCCTCCTGCTCATTTAGACAGAATTGAAGCTTTGATATGGATGGCAGTAATTGATAAAAAAAAAAAACAAAAATAACAAGGATATTAAGCCATTTACAATTTTCCAGATTAAAACGGATGCACAGTTTAAGGGTGACAAGTTTTGATTATTTTCTTTGCCTATTTGCTCAAGATAATTTGGATGGCCAAGACTAGACTGATATAAAGAGACGAAGTTGTTATTGTTTATAGATTCCTATCCTATATAGAGATTAGAAAAGTTTTAACACGAAGGGAGCTTGTCTAGTAACTTAGAGGATTTAGTAACTCATGAAGGAGAACAAAATTTGTCATCCTATCGAAGGATACGCAATAGTGAGATAAAGGAAGCTCCTAAAAATGACAAATGGCAGAGCCAAGAAACCTAATTGTACTCCTATTGAAGTGTGGGAATATTTAGATGAAGAGGGAGTGCGGTGGCTAACTAAGTTATTTAATGAAATCTTTCATTCCAAAAAATGTATGATGAATGGAAGAGAAGCACTTTAGTTCTTATTTACAAAAATAAAATGTATATTTAAAATTGTACAAACTACAAAGGGATTAAACTCTTGAGTCATAAATGAAATCGTGGAAGAAAGTTATTGAACATAGGTTGAGATTAGAGACTAATATTTTTTAGAATCAATTTGGCTTCATGCTAGGTAGGGCGACTGCAGAGTAGTTTATCTATTAAAGATATTAATGAAAAAGTATCGATATAAAGGTAACGATTTACACATGGTTTTTATTGATGTGGAAAAAACTTATAACCATGCACTAAAAAAAGTATTTTGGAAAGTCTTGAAAAAGAAAAGTGCCTCAGTTGCCTATACTAGAGCTATACAAGATATGTATGAAGGGGCAACAACCAGTATAAAAATGTCTGATGGTGAAATAAAAGACTTTCCTGTAAAGATTAGACTACATTAGAAATCATTTTCGAGTCTTCATTTGTTTGACTTAATCCTAGATGTTTTAACTGAGCATATTCAAGAGAAAATCCCTAAATGCATGCTTTTTGCTGATGATATAATTCTTATTGTGAAAAAAAGAGAAAAGATTAACTACAAACTTGATTTATGAAAGAACACATTGAAGTCAAAAGGTTTCTGCCTAAATAGGAAATGTTTACGTTATAATTTTGATAGGAGGCCAATTAGCAGTAATTTGTAAGTGAAATTAAGAGATCAAATAATGATCTCAAATGGAAAAATTTAGATATTTGAGAACTATAACTTAACATGATGGAAAATTGATGGAAATGTTGTACATAGGATACCAATTGGGTGATTAATTGAATAAAGACTAAAGGAATTATTTATGATCAAAAGGTACCTAATAAATTTAAAGAAAAGTTTTATCAAATTGCTACAAACTTAGTTATATTATATGGTAGTGAATGTTGAACTTTAAAGGAAGAGCAGGAGCATAAAATTGAAATACCAGAGATGAGAATGTAGAAAATAAAAAAAAGTGAGCATAGTAGCTATTGAGGGAAAAATAGTAAAAAATCATTTAAAATAATTTGGACATGTACAAAAAAGACCGCGGATTGGTGAGGAGAGCAAAAGGAATAATTTTGAGCCCTGTAAAGAGAAGTAGAGGAAAGCCAAAGAGAATACCTATAAAAATTATTGACTGAGACCTCTGAGTTAACAACATTTCTAAAAGCTTGATAAATGATAAAATACAATGGCATAATGCAATCCATACAGTCAACCCCACTTAGTAGGATAAGGCTTGTTGTTGTTGTTAACATAGAAGTTATATATGTCAAAGATTAACAAATCGGACCGGTCTGACTGTCAACCAGTCCGGATTGCGGTTCAGTCAATATGTAAAAATCATTTTATGGGTTAAGCCGGGTTGGACTGCTTTAAACCGGCGGTCAAATCAGAAATCGAGATCAAGTCGAGAACCAAATTTGATTTTCAAAAATCGAACTGTTAAAAAAAATGGCTAATTTTTGTAATCATTTGATGTTATGTTGTATTATGCAGCTTATTAAGTCATGATAAACTTAAAACATTTAGTTTTATTTTTAAATTAAGTAGTAATTTCATATTTATTTCTTATATTTAGATTATTATATATATATATATAATTTTTTAATTTAATTATTACATCATCGGTTTGACCATTGATCCAACCCAGTTGAACCATATGAACTGTGAACTGTTGACCTTCCTGATTCAATATTTGGCTCAACTCTGAAAATATTGATATATATTGTATTATTCTATAAAAGTTGACTACAATTTCCCTCAAGTTGCTTAACCCGAAGACCAACACTTCTGTGGCAGCGTTTGAATCAAATCTAGCTATTCTTCTAGTCAGCTATTTCTGGAAACTGATCATATTTATCAGAAAGAAATTATTAACCCTACGTTAATTTGATATGAGAGCTGAGTGGTTTATTAACAGAAGTAAATACACCAAGAGTCCCCAATTTTGCCAACCACGAGAAGCAACTGAGATGCAGAAACCAGATGTCAACAAACACTTGTCAAAATAAGACAATCAAAGAGAACAATTGTCAATGACGTCAATATATTTTAAAGGCTATTGAATTTCAATCAGTGAGCACAGATAGGTGACGCAGTGAGAGGAGGAGATTAGGAGGCATCAAAATATAGCACTATGGTGGGAATATATCCTTTCACAAGTGTCCCCAGAATAAAAGGTCAGGACTACTCAAGAAGCAACATCGTAATGCAGGAATAAATCCTCTTGGGAAGTGGAGGGTGCAACTTGTTTCGGCACGTGTAAACTTATGCTACAGTTCAAGAATATCTCACTCAAACTTCAAAAGTCACCTATCTCCTTTAATATAGTAGGATAAAGCTGATGAAAAATGAAGCCGAGTTGAAGCCACGCTCTTGTATGAACTGTCTCTGAATTGACCATATACGAAATTGACCAAGGGATTAGGAACAAGTCTCAAATGCTACTTTCGATGATTAAGTCGCATGTTGAAAACCAAATTACATAATATTATTTTACAAAAAAATAAAAGAAAATCCAGGGGAAATTTCGGGATACTACTGAAATTGCTTGCTTTTAAGAATTTTATGTGTTAATTTTTACTCAATCAAGGACTTCGCACAGTGATTGGGAGGGAAAAAACTTTACTGTCCCAGATGATGGATGATGACAATAATGATAAGAAGAATAGTAAGGTCCCGGCTGGCAGGCTAGAGATAAAATATTGGAGAAGAAAATATGGGTATGTCGTCGTTGACATGAACGAACCACCATTTGGAGCAAATCGCACACGCTCCGCAGACCAATCAGAAATAAAATTTTCCAGCAATAAAAAGATTAGAAAGATACCTAGATCGCTGTGCTCCGCGTGAATGCCAGCCCATGTCACGTCACCCACCAATAAAAGGAACAATACACACACTCTCTCTCTCTCTCTCTTGTTGTTAAAATAACAGGGGAGGCGTCACAGTCCAGCTTTCTAAATTTAGTAAAATGTTTAATAAAATATTGCAACTTCTAAAAGCGAAATTAATAAAATATCATATCCACATTAAAATCAACTAGCACGCCAAATACACGCCTATAACTCCTATAATAGTACAAAGAACCGAGTTTACCCCCAAAAAAAAAAAAACCAAAATAGTACAAATTACCGATGGCTGGGATATGATAAAGGCCATTACTTTCAAGCCATTAGAAGAAGGATAAAAGCACATTAAAGCAACCACCATAAGCTAGCCGCCGGCAGGGGCATTTTCGTCATAAAAGTTTCATGACCAAAGTCAACGATTTCCGCTAGTTCAAGGACGAAGACGTTATTCTAGTGTGTCACAAAACCAGGAGCCCGGGACTCCTCCAATCAGATACTGTCACTCATATTTCATAACATCACCGTGAAAGAGGAAAAAAGCAAAGAAACGAAAAGACCCAAATCACCCTGGTGCAAAGGGACTAACGACGCGTAGAACAAAGGGTATAACCGCCATTTAATTCACAATGAAACCACTCTTGGATTCGCCCACAGAAAGGTGAGAAAAAAAAAGTGGCAACATTTGAGTGGAAAGACGAGAATATCCTTACCATTATCAGGTGGGGCAGCAGTGAGATGGCTGAGGAAGCCAGCTGGCGAACTTCTCTGACGCAGCAGAGCCGAAGAGGAGCTGCCGAAGCCGATGGCGGCTCCGTCATGGAGACCGTACGATCTCTGCAGTCCGAGCCTGGGAGGCTTGTCTTTTGGATCGGAGGAGGAGTTGACCTTGCAGGAGGACTCGGAGGATTCCCCAGAGAAAAAATGGGTCACCGGAGGGCGTGATCCGACGGCAGTAGTGGAGAATTCGCGGTCAGCTCCTCCGATAACGGCATCGACGGCGTTGGTGAGGAGCGAGCCCGGGGCGGAACCGTAGCGGGTCAAGCCGCTTTGGGACTGGGAGGAGGAAGATGAGGAAGAGGGGTACATGTGGAGCGGTAGAAGGCTGAATGAGAGAGGGAGGGGGAGAGAGGAGAAAATGGGAAAACGAAGCAGAATTAAGAAAGAGAGAAGATGAAGATGAGGGATGCCAATTGGGGAAAGGTCTAAGAGCAGTTATTATATCATTCGCTGGTGACGGTATTGCCTCACGTGCATTGTGATTTCATAACTAGTTACTCCTTCCCTGCTTCATCTTCACAGTTTGTAATAAGATTATATTGAAGGCGCTCTATAAGTAAGATTACAATGAGTATTCGAGAGTTTAAAATGGATCACCCCCTCAGGCCTTAATTTTTTTTTTTAAAAAAAGTTACATTGTTTTTAACGTTTAAATAATGTGATTTTTCATGGAGTTTATTATACAGATTATATCAATAGAGCTGTATTATTTATGTGTAATCAGAGTTGTATGTATTAATGACGCGGTGATAATACTTTTTTAATAGTCATAAAATAATACATGTGTTTTAAAAAAAAACAATTTTGAAGTTAATATTGATTTAAGAAATTGTTATACCAAACATTTACGCACATATATAGTCACATTAAATTATATTTTGACTAAATTTATTATTTGATTTTATCCTAAAACTAATCAAGCAAACGGCATGATTTTCCATATCGGAATAATCTTATTCAATGTCAGGATTTAATGATTAATACATGTACATGCCTCTAACGGTATTTTGAATTTGACTTTCTTACAAACTCTGTAACAGCCGTGATACTCAATGATCACTTTTTTGGTACACCCTAAAAAGGCAGCTTTTATTCATGAATTATGCTTCCGGACTTCCAGTCGTCTTTCGGAAACGCAATTGTTTACTTCTTCTTTTTTGTGTTGGGTACTTGTTTTATTTTTTTTATTTTTTAATCCCCAATAAGTCTAGCTATGTTTGAAATAAATATGATAATGTTTGTAACGCTAAATAACAAAATTTCAACTTAATAGGCCAGCCAGAGAGAATTTCCTTTTTCCCCCCCTTGAAAAGTTCAAGTTCTCGGCCTTCTTTATTCTTACGCCCCAACCAAGTGACCCTTTTTTTTTTTGTTAGCTGAAAAATTCTGAGTTTATTAAAATAAAATGTAATAACAAAGAAAAATGAAAAAAATAAAATGAGAATTTGTTCATAACTTGAAACCTAATAACTTATAATTCAAAAATTGTTAAAAAAATTAAAGTTGATATATAAATCATTTTTAATAATTTTAAAACTGACTCATTTATCACTTAAGATTGTATTATTTCAAATGACAATACAACGATAAAGAGTTTGGACCCCATGTAACCTAAACAAAAGATAATTATATTGCTTGTGCCCATTTAAAATTATTTTACTCGAATTAAATTGTGAAAAAGTTTTAAGTCAAATGCATGCTATATTAATGCATGTGATTGGTCATGAATTTATAGATATATCAAATAATTAAATGTAACAGATAATAACCCTAGTAGGTAAGACATTCAACGTCATTTTAGCGACATTCCCAATTTAAATTTGGTAAATAAGGAAAAAAAAATCGATTGGAGTACGATTCGGCTCAAATTCATATTAATTGTCAGTATTGTATATTATTGGATATTTTGTTGGGGGAAAGTTGATGGGTATTTTCATTGAATTGTTAAACTCGAGTAATGGCCATAATGTGAATTGTTTGGTTCCATATCAAATATCAATAGTTTTTTTTTTTTCTTGGCTTGGCCAGTTCCATATCAATAGTCAGCGTATATGTATATTATATTAATCACATTCCGTATGAAAGTTGACCAAAAAAAATGACCCTACTTTTACCAGCGAATTCCATACCGATCATACGAAGTTCAAGATCTGCACGCATTGACCCGAAACTGTTTTGTATTTATACGTTTAAAATAAAATAATCATATTTCTAAGAACAACACCCAAGAGAGAAAATAATTAATCATCATATTCCAGGAATATCAATGTTTCAATATATATATATATATATATGTGCATGTGATATCAAATGATCAAAAAAAAAACATGAGGTACAAATTAAATAGATGAGAACTGAAATTATATTCTTAATATACATAAAATCACCATCCAGATAAATTAGGATTTCAGGTGTCAATTAATATAAAATACTATAAGACCAACTTAAGATCAGAATTGTGCCACGACACATGTCGTGAATTTAAAATTAACAGTACAACGTAAAGTTGAATCTGGCAAGATATAAATAATAGATAGGACTAATTTGGTAATTATGCTCATAAGCAAGGGTTTGCGTTAATTATGGGAGTTAAAGTTTGAAGGCAAGTTGGAATTAAAATAATTAGGTTCAATGTATATTTCACAAACTTACAAGAGAGACACAACTCAAGTCACGGCCCACTCGCTCCTCACCCGTGATGTTGATATGATCCAAGCTTTTCAGTTTCCTTGAACCTCGTTCGTCCCCTTGTTTTCTCTTTCTTTTTTTCATTATTATTAACTCTCCAAAGCAACGTACATTCTAATATATTGTTAATTAAATAATTATTAATTATTTGAAAATATCCATGCAGTACAAGAAAAATTAATGCAATTAAGATTGGATCTGGGCTTGACAATAATTCTTCATCATCTTTATTCTATCCAAGTCTAGTCCATTTAATTGTTTTTGGAGAATCTTTAACCGTGGATTTTGTCTTCTTGTTGAAAATTAAACAATTAAACGGAAATTTAATTTCACTCTGTTACTCTTTCTATCTTCATCATGATCTCTTCAGTGCTTTTTGGATGCAGTTCTTCATCGGCTTTCCTTTGTCTGTTAGAAAAGTCACGCTTGTACAAATCAGGACAGAGTGACTTGAAGATATCTTTTTTTTAAGGAAAACTTATTCTTTTAATCTTTTAATTTTTAATTTATTTATAATTTAATTATCAATTATAATTTATTATGATTCAGTCTTTTAATTATAATTCACTGTAATTCAATCTCTTAACTTTTAATTCACCTATAATTCGATCATTATTTTTTAATTTTTTTAAAAAAATTTATTAAATAAGTGGAATAAAAAATGCTCATATATTATTTTAAAGTATCCTTTCCTTACTCATTGATGTAAGATATAAGTTAATATGAAAAAAAATAAATAAAAATTTAGAGACTAATTTGTAAGTGATTTAAAAGTTGAAGGATTGAGTTGTAGGCGACTCATAGCTGAGGAATTGAGTCAAAGTGAGTCATAATTGAGGGGTTGAGTTATAAGTGAATTTAAAGTTAAAAGATTAAAAAATTAATTATTTCTTTTTTTTAAATTACTTTCATCAGGTGAATATTTTTGGCTTTCTGAGAGGGAAAAAGAAAACGAGATCGCCAGTGAATTTGTCAGTCTCTACAGTAGTTAGTTACTATTTGTGAGTGTGCATGCTTACTCCAAAATATGTATGCACCAAGTTTGACGTTGATGTCAATATAATGTATTATAAAATTTGCATCATACTATATTTAATTATTTATTGTGAATTTTTCACTTGCTAAAATTATTGAACTTACACCCAACACCCTAATATAATGAGGAATATTTGAATAGACTAAATGTATCATGTTATTTATAATCTGTTCAATAAAAACATGATATTTATATAGTATTACATATAAATTAATTATGATATTAATTATATTAAAAAGAGAAAATAAAAGAAATCAATTGGGCATTCTGTTATAAAAAAAAATTAATTAAAAAATATCACACACGATTTTATTTAAATTACTATAAGCATTTTAATTGGACAGACAAATGATGTAGTGCACTCGATCTACTTAAATATTTTTCTAACATAACAGGATCCACAAAAGCTGCAAACATTTATCTAAAATAGGAAGGAATTATTTATTAAATATTTTCAAGTTGTGTATTTTTATATGGAAAAAATATGAAGATTTCTTTTTTACACCAGGTAATTAACGCCATTAAAACATTGAGGCTAGTGATAAAACAGCATATTTGATTTCACGTTCGTCCCAAATGGCTTCTAACATTAAACTGAATATATATAATTTTAATTTTATTATTTGAAATAACCATTGATTCTTAGAAAATCCCTAAATGTCTAATATTAACAAGAAAAAAACTTTTAGGTAAAAAAAAAAATACAATAAAGAACTTACACGCTCAATCTTATTATTTGAAAGAGCATATCTGATTTCATGTTGGAAGTCTTTATATAGTCTTAATTAGTAAGGAATTTACAAAATTTTAGTGTAAATTTTAAGTCAATCAACAAATGATAATTTATTATAAGTAAGAACTATAACTTGTTATTGAAATTTAAATAACTTAAGATTTATAATTTTCATTAATATTTTTATGAATGTTTTTAATTTTGATTTTTCCTGTATAAAGTTAGAAACCTAAGCCTCTCTCTATTGACAATATTCAGCCTTCTAGCGGAACGTGGAACGCGCATCCCCTGCATTGGAAAATAATGTTCATAGCATCGACCAATGGTTTTGTGCCATTATTAGTTAGAATCATAAGTTATCTATCCATTTATGAAGTCAATGTCTAATTGCAACGTTATGATTTTCCATCTACGGAATCTTTTAGGTTATAACCAAAATCTATAAAATAATACTCATTATTGTTCGCAACTACTTAAATAATAATACTATCTAACTTTAAAGTCCTCTTTTCGTGTGTCTACCACGGTCCTTTACTTTTTTACAAGTAGTGCAATGAAGATACCGTAATTTATTCTTTAATTCCCGCTGCAGTGAAGTCCTAAGATATAAATTAGTTCACATAGGTTTTTGTATCGATATCATTTATTTATTTTTGAAAAATAATAGTAATAACAATGAAAGAATGCAATTAAGAAGCTGGTGCTTGGCCCACAACCCCAGCTTGGATTGCATATTTAGATTCAATGCATTGGATTGAATATTCAAGTTCGGCATGTATGCTATGTTCAATTAACGTGATTAAGTTTGAACGTTGGTCTTTAAATTTCGTGGAACCCGACGCTCCCCTATTTCGCAACTTGTCAGCTTTGAATTGCGCGTTATTTGCAGTTTTAATTTGAAAAGATTACGTTAAAATTTTACATTGACAATTGAATTAAAACTATTGATAATAGTTGAATTTTCAAATCAGGTCGAGGTCGTACTTAGTGGGGGGAAAAAGAAGAATATTAGCAATACTAGATTTATGTGCTGATCAAATAGAAGAAGTTGGTTAAGTTGTATGGTGAAATTCAATTTATGTCAGTTGAGAGAAATTCTTCGTTCGCTTGGATTCAGTGACATTTTGTGTGTCTTCATGGCAGTTGCATGAACTCATTTGTAATTGTCGTAAAATTGGTTTCAGGGTTATCTTCTTTTACCTATCATCCAAAAGAATTAAAAGGCGAAGGAACAGACCATGTATTTGCATTGCGCAAGGTGCTTTATTGGAGCATCTAAACGAGTTTGAGGCAATTTGGCCATTAATTTCAAATTAAGAAGTTGTACTACCTCTTCAAACATAACAAAAAATTGTACAACTTCTTAATTGTACTGCATCATTCTAAGATTTCATTGAAGAAGTGCACGTGATACCTTTTTAATGTTAGAAATGCAAGAGGAGGAACAAGTCTACATATGACAATAATAGTAAACATCTTTAATTAATGGTGCATGTATGAGTCGAATATCATGAATGAATTTGATTGCCTCTTTTGGCCAATTTATTTTATTGCCTTGAAAAAATAACCTTGAGAGGACTCTTGTTTGTAGCACAAGAAAAAATACATATTTCATAAAAAGTCTCTCCTATTATGGAGGGTGTGAGTGGAGCATCAATATATTTTCGGTGGAAGATGTTTATTAAGCGGCTATGTTCATTAAATATTATCAATTTGCCAACTTGTTTGTCCTTGTTGCAAATATTGTCAAAATGCAGCTTAGCAACTCGTCCGTTCCTCTTTTGTATAAAATTTAAAGTAATATATAGCATATTTTCACGTGCATGCATGGTAATTAAATTTAGTTTTTTCATAGCTGTCAGCTATTTTTAACTTGACTTTATTTCTTTTAAATTTATCTATTAATATATTCATATATTAATTAGCAATACATGGCATATGCACCATTACGAGCACAGTAATTAAATTTATTTTTCTTATAGTTGTTAGCTATTTCTGACTTGACTTTTCTTTTTTTTTTTCCTTTTTAACTTACCTTGTTATATAAATATAAGTTATGACCATTATAATTTATTTTTTAACCCCATGTAGTTTGTTGTTTGAAGTTTCTTACTACGTTGCTTTTTTCTTTGGAGCTCTATTTATAATATTTGTCAGGGTTGTTATATTAGCAAGCTCAAGAGCCTGGATGCTTTATGTCGAAATATCTGCTTTTGCTAGGCATGGTCTCGCGAGATTTGGGACAAGTTCAGGTAACAGTCCCACCTTCAAATAACAGTCCTATTAGCTCAGTCATTTTGAATTTTAAGAATCATGTTTCTTTCATAATTAAGTGTTTATTTAGTGTAAAAGGTCCCTCTTTAAATGAATTGGTCCTGTCTTAGTAGACGTTTTATTAGGCCTGACGTTTCATCTTTTATACTTTTGGATTATAACCAAATATTGTTTTATTTTAGACCTAGGCACATTTTTATTTCATTTTCTTCATTCTCTGTTTTTTTTTTTCCAAACTTGTACTTCTCCTCTCTTATTTTTACTATTTATGTAATTTCTCTAAAAATATAAAGTTGTAATTATATCCTAAGCTAAACTCAACAATCATCTCCTAATTAAAGTTAATTACCTTTAAATATTCTTTATAAGTTTATTTACTTCAATTTTCTCTTAAAATTTAAATTGAAATGATGTAGTATGACAACAAGGGACTGGAAAAGGAAAGGAAAGTGCTTAGAATTACGCGACAACCAAAACTTGAAATTAAGGCGTTGGTCCTCTAAGATCTCAATCTTGGCCAGCCAATGTCCACTTCCTATATTAATGTCTTATTTGATATTTACTTCCTTATCAATTTTCACTACTCCCTATCTTCTTGTCTTTGGCTCATCTATTTTTGATGCAATTATAGCTGATTCCTACTTTGCTAGAGTTGGGGCTCTATTCCTCGTCATCTTCCCGTCATGTATTATTGGTAATGTCTATACCCGAGGTTGGTTCCACTCCACCACTTTATCCACTCGAGATTTTGGATGGAAGGCTCGGGCTTCTTACTTGTTCATGTCGATTTTGGATTGGATTGTGTATAATAACTCGAGAAAATATTTGAATGTTAATTCATGTCTTCTATCTGTGTTTTGTTTCAGTTGCAACACTTCGAAGCAGGCTAGAGATCTTAAGAAGGGAGGGTGGATCACACTATCGAAAGAGGTAAATATATCATTTCGCGACATCTGTTTGTCATTTGAATATTTTGGGAGTATTTTATTGTCTTGCTCTCTTTTATAAATACTTTGTTACAGTCATACAAAAATTAAACTGTAAACATGTCTCGTGTGTGATGGAATTTGAGCGAAGGCATAGGCTGAAGTCGTGTTGGCGTTTGTGTTCCTTGTTTATTAATTGCTTTTATGGTATTTATTTTTTTCAGTTATTATTATAAAATACTTTTAATTATTCTATTTAATTAAAAAAGTTAATTTTTTTAATATTGTAAAAAAGTGAGATGTACTTTTATTTTTAACTTTAACTTTAAATAATAATATAATTACATTAAATACTTTCATATTAATCAAGAAGGAATAAATAAAAAAAGTAATTTAATTATTATAAATTATTTTATATTTTAAATTAAAAATTATTTTTAAAAAATATATTAGAAATAGGATTGGAGGAAGTTTGTTTTGTCTGCCTTATTTTGTTTACGTTTTTTGGATTAGGGAGTTTTATCTCCTCCTTTCGTCTGACCATTGATAGCGAATGAATGAATTCCCCTCAGGCCAAAAAAAAAAAAAAACATGGTAAGGTCTTGCACTCAACTCAACGCAAAAATTTAAATTTAAGTTAGTCTTTAAAGATAAGATAAGATATTTTTAAAAAAACTTACTTAATTCAAAATATGAGAAGAAAAGTTATAAATTATTTATTTTTTATAAAAATAATTTAATAATTTATATAAATTTATTAATAATAGAAAATTTTTTAAAAACTTAAAAAGAATTATGACATTTCAGGAAATTAAATTATCATTTATATATTTTAGATAAATTTTATTGCCATTTTTTTAATTTTAATTAACATTATTAAGGCTTTTATATAAAGTATTTAGTGAGAGCATAAATAAAAAGATATAAATATTTTTAAAAATTTAATATTCCAATTAACATTATTTATTAATTATAAATTAATTAATTATAAGTTTTATTATGTTCTATTTGCAACACCATGCTTGTAGTAAAAAATTACATTGGTGCTGCATTATATAAATTCTGAAAATAAATAATTTATGATGTACATCAAATTCAAACAACTGGCATTAATGATATTATTATTAAGTTACATGGGATATTGGAATCGAATGATACCCTAGGGGACGCACCCAAAACCCAAAAAAAAAAAAGAAAAAGAAAAAGAAAAATACCGAGGTTCGGTGCACAGGGGCCCCAACGAGTGATTGCGAAGATCTGTCTGATGAAATTATCCGATCCGTCAATCTTCTGGCTTCGACGCTGCACGAATTTCCCGTCAATGTAGGAGACACCAAATAAGAGCGAGCTCCTGGGTTCGTACAACGCATTCCGATCTCTAGAGAGAGAAGAGATTCAACCAGACATCATTTCTCTCATCTCTCTCTACCCCTTTCCACCTGAATTCTGATATACCTTCATCAGGTGGCAACCATGCCTTCCACTTTTTCTCCCCACCCCCTCTTTCTTCGTTTCGTGGGGGCTCTCATCCTTCTCTTCTTCGTCATTCCCGGTTTCCCCTCTGCAGCGGCCGACGATGTCAAACACGATGACGACAGGGTTCCCAAGTCGGATTCTTGTAATAATGACTTCCAATTGGTAATATATCATATCCCTCTATTCTTTTAATCAGCGAACCCTTTGTTGATCCTTGTAATTATTATGTTTGGCTCGGATGTAGTGACATTCCTATGAAGGAAATTGGAAATGGAATTGAGATTGAAATGGGGGAGCTTTTGTAGTTTCATTTTGTTTTCCTTTTAAACATATATGAAATTCTATTGAAGAGAAGAGGGTATCAATGCTAAACCGAGGGCAAGAAGTCCTCTGAAAAATAGATGCGGGGTTCTTAGCTCTAAAGTGCTCATCAATTCCGTTGGAAGTCCGTAAAGGGAAATTACCATTAGCTGATATCCACATGGATGCCAAGAAAGTATTCTCTCTCAAGTAAAATGGGTAGTAAAAAACGTTTAAAGAAGGGAGAAAAAGTGTAGAAGCCAAAGAATGCACAATTCAAGTCTTTCTTTCAAGCTGGATGGAAACACAAAAAGAAGCGAGGATTTTAATTGACAAAGTTAGATAATCCATAACTATTAGTTATAGTCCTTCGGTCTTTATTATAAGATTTTTTCAACTGTTTCACACATATTAATAAAATTTTTTTTCTTGATATCATAAAAAATTGAGATGTACTTTCATTTTTACCTTTAGTTTTAAATAGTAATACAACTACATTAAATATCTTCACACTAATCAAGAAGGGATAAAAGTGAAAAAAGTGGTTTAATTATTATAGGATGTCCTATATTTGGGACCAAAAATTATTTCTAGAAGGTGTTTTATAAATAGGATTGGAGGGAGCATGTCGTTAGAATATTGGATGAAGAGTCAAAATAATAAGGATCTCAATCATTTTCTCTAGATTGATCTTGAATTCTACTCTGACTCTACTTCCGGCTGTCTAGCTGGCTTTGCATCATGAGGTTGGTAGCTTTCATGCTGGTGGATAACTTGCAAACTCTGGCACACATCATATTAACCCCACCTAGTGCAATAAGACTTGTTGCTAGATATATCTTTTACTTGCTATATGGATTAATTACTTTTCTTCTAATTAGATTATGCAGAAGTACATTGTTATAGAAGTTGTAATGCTGTAATTTATGTTACTAAATCTTTTCACTCTTATTTGATTTTTCCCTCACCGTTATTGTTGTTGTTCATTACTGTGGTAGATGTGCCTTGCTGTTCCAATTACTAAGTTTTGAATTACTTATCTTGTAAATTAGTTAATGATTTTAGATGCATGTACTGTTAGATGATAACTAACTATTTGTTATAAATAAATATTGTATGACTAAATCAAATGATAATTGCTTAATTAGTAACACTTGCTCCCTTCCTTAAAAAATGTAAGGCATTTTTTGAGGAGTTGGATGTTCAAAAATGTAAGGCATTTTTAGTCTTTCGAGGTGTAATCATTGCCTTTTTTTTTTTCAAAAATACCTCTATTGATAGTGATTTTATATTTATTATAAGGTGTTTAATAGGCAGAGTTAGTTTGAAAGTAGTTAACTATTATTTTATTGGGGGGTGAGATTCGGTTAAAAATGCCTTACATTTTTTAACAGAGAGAGTATATGTGATGGTATGATTTTAATCCTTGTAAAGAGGGGTAGAGGAAGACCAAAGAAAACATTTATGAAAGTTGTTGAACGAGACTTCTTGGTTAGCAATATTCTTTGGAGTTTGGTTAATGATAGAGCACAATAATGTCGTGCAATCCATGTAGCTGACCCTATCTAGTGGGATAAGACTTGTTGTAGTAGTAGTTATTGTTGTTGTTTGATTTTAATCTTAATCAAATTACTCATATGATCAAATAAAAACATAAATTAAAAGGTATTGGTGTGTGACAATTATATAACATTTTAAAGTTGCTTTGTGCAATTTTTTAAACTGCTACTGCATGGCCATGATTTGCATCAAAGGCACTGGGCAGTGGGCTGGTGCTTGAATGGAGGACTTCCACCTCAACCAGCAGGTTGAGATAAGGGCCTTTGAATATGCTGCTTTTGAATTATTTTCCTTGACTGGTTTCTCTATCAATGTTGAAGACATGTTTTCTAATGCTGAAGTCTTGCAGGTTAAGGTGAAGAACTGGATTGATGGCAAAGAAGAGGACATGTATAATGGGATGAGTGCAAGATTTGGGTCTATGTTGCCTGAGCAGGCTAAAGAAAGTGTCAGATCACCTGCTGCTGCTGCAAATCCTGAGGACTGCTGCTCCAATTCAACTTCTATGGTTTGGCTCCTGCCCTCCCCCCAAAAATTTTATCCTTTACACAGAGCTTCCTTGATTGATGCTCTTATGGTTGCTGACTAATTACAGAACCACGTGCATGCAGAAGACTTCTCCAGTGATGTGAATATTACTCTTGAAATGTTACTTCGTAAATTTGTGATTTATCCTATTGCATTATACCTGAATTTTAGAGAACCTGCAAATTCCAACTTAGGTAGTGGTCATTATAGAATAGGGGATATATGTTCAGGTGGCATGCTTATTGTGTTAATGAATTCCCATTTGCAGCTATCTGGTTCAGTTGTTCTATGTGAACGAGGTACTTGTGACTTTACAACTAAAGCAGCATTTGCTCAGTTGGGAGGTGCTATGGGAGTGTTGATGATAAACAGCAATGAAGGTTTGTTTTATTGCTTGTCACATGGCATTGCTTCTTTGGTTTTATTTGATGGTGACTTCTTTTGCCTTGCTGACAGAAAGTATGGTATAACATTGTTCAACTAAAGTTTCTCTTGTTAGGCTTGTAAATTGTGATTTCCCTTTCATTTACAGTGGGTTGTATGGTTAGCTGCTGTCCACGCGCACAAGATTTTACTTTTAAAGGAGTTTTAGGTTTCCAAAACCCCTTGATGAATTTAGAGTTAAACTTTCTCATCTAGAGAAGAAGAAAGACAAATAAGCTCTGGATTAAGTAAAAGATTTCCACAAGTTCATGAACTTACCTATTAGAGGTGGTTTTCTAGCAAAGTGAAGATTCCAAGAAAACTATTCCGAGAAGACAGAAACCACTGAATTGGAGAATCAAGCAAGTGATACAGATGACAAGACGTTGTGATTTCATTTCTCTCTTGCTCTCGTCTTGTTGGATTTGACTTATATACTTAAAGAATCATTTTATGTTATGAAACTAAAATATTCCAATACTATTAACATAACTGGTTCTAGAAATAGGTGTATTCCGTCCTCTACTTTCGTCTATATTTTTTTCTCCTGTTTTTTTCTTTATATATTTTTAAAGTTGAAAGGGGTTAAATCTAGTTTCCGCTAAAACTTTTAGCATGATAATTTACTTGTTGAAACTTTGTTTTCATTCCAATTATCTGGTTCTTGTTTGTGCTTGTAAATGCGTAATTATTATCTATGATGTTCCCTTTGATCAATTGTTGTTTGAGACCTATTGATTTAATTTATTCAGAGCTCATTGAGATGACTTGCACCAATGGCACTACGTCAAACATTTCAATTCCAGTTGTGATGATATCAAAATCCGCTGGAGAAAATTTGAAGAAAATGATGTCTTCAAAGAAAGGTTGGCTCTTCAATCCGCATAACTTCTGCTTGTACTTTTTGTTTGCTTTTGAGAAAGAGATTTTGTTGAATATATTTAAACGTATTTATGGTGCAAATAAGATATGCAGAATGAGGCTTGTGGCCCAATGAAATAATTGCATACAGGTGTATATTTAGGATATGGTGACTTGGGTGCATTATTTAGATGTCTTAAAGCCATTGGCCAATGAAAGAGGTGAAGGGTGAGGTGGAAGTTCTTGAATTCACTGGGAAGTGAGTGATTGTTGTGTTATCGCTGAGAGTTAAAACATGTGTTATCACACAAGTTAGCATTAGACATACACCGAGATAACTAGCTGGTCAGTTGGTAGTTGATGTTGATTGTTGAAATAGAGACTAACTGATGTAACACACAATCACATACACTTGCTCAGATCTGAATAGAGGGAGAGAGTAGAGAGAAACCAGAAATAAGGAGGGAGAAATGAAGAAGATGAAGAATAGAATAGTGGACGAGCAAAGAGAGGGAGACAGACGCAGAGAGAGGGAGAGCTATCAGACTTTACTCATAATATTCATTCATTCATTCATTCATCAAAGTCTCCCTTACAAGAGAAAAGCCTAATCTGTTTAAACTACACTTTCCTACCTATTAAGGAAACCTTAATAACTTGGTTAGATAAAGCTAATGTTCAGATTTCCCTCTTTGCAAAAGTATTAAAATAACACAAAGGTAACTTACTTCTTTCTAGATAGGTTTCTTTCAAGCAAAATACAATGATAATAAGCTACTAGCCTAGGTTTCTTCCTATAGGAGGTTTCTTCAAAATATATTAATTCTTATCTTTCATGACCAACTTTTTCTGGCTTGCCTTTTTATTTGTTGAAGAGCCAGAACAGTCTTGTGGTTATATGAGAAGTTTTTGTCACAATGCTTGTTTTACTTATCTTCACAATGTTGCTTTATATTTTATGGGAGTTGCTGGAGGGAGGAGAATGAGTCCGATTAAGAGAGGTAGAGGAAGGCCTAAGAGAACACTCTTGGAAGTTGTTGAACGTGATCTCTTAATTAATAATATTTCTAAAAGCTTAATAAATGATAGAGCACAATGGTGTCTTGCAATCCATGTAGCCGACCCCACCTAGTGGGATAAAGGCTTGTTGTTGTTGTTGTTGCTGGAGGGAGGAGAATGGATTGGTGTCTTTTTTAACATCACTTTATGACATTGTTGAGATTATGCTACATGGTTTTCCTTGTTTTGTTATCAGTGAATTTTATGTTTTAAATGGAAAAGGAAATGAAAGGCCAAAGCTCTTTATCATTGTAGAAATTCTAGCCAATAACTAGCCAATCACAAAATTTTCAATTAGCTAACTCAGATGAAGGGTCAGCTTTTTAAGGTGAATCAGAGATTAACATCTTCTCTTTCTTCTACTTATTATCCAAAGAAATAAATCTATACATATAGGGATAAATTCGGGCAACTAAAAATAAATATACACCAATCCAATCTTAAGATAAACATTAAGGAAACAAATGTTAAGAGATAGAGTTGACTAAATAGAGATGATGTTATACAATTAACTAGAAAATAATAAATGATGTCCAATGAAGGAGGTGAAAATAATGAATATAAAGAATTCTGGTTAGTTGGAGACGGTGGAAGTAGCTCGTTCTTCATTCACAACATATCTGTAAATTCTATTGATTAGTTAAAATGTGTACTGTCACCATATAATACAATCTATTGGGCTATGATTTCATGCAAATCCTGAATTTTCTTGTGTTGCCTCGTTTTGTTAACTAGCACAATTATTGGCACTGCAAGGTTTTCTGGTATTGGAATTAGCATTTTAATTGTCACACAAATCCACACATTCTTGCTAGTTTGCATACTGATAAATATCTTGGATAAATAAGATAAACGAGAAATGTGCTTGTGGGGTGTCAAGTTGATTTCCTGTAGATTATTTTCAGATGGTTAATTCTGAGTCATCCATTGCAGTGGAAATTTTGCTATATGCTCCAGTTCGTCCACTTGTAGACTACTCTGTGGCATTTTTGTGGTTGATGGCTGTTGGGACAGTTGCATGTGCTTCACTATGGTCAGATTTGACTGCCCCTGAGCAGACTGACGATTGCTACAATGAGGTTTTTGTTACAACCTATATTATTTCAAAGTTCATGGTTTGCGTTAAAGTACTTTTTTGTGATGCCTCAGGGCGTGAGTGGTCTTGTTCATTGTTTGGAATAATTAATAAGCGATTTGAGTATAATTTTGGTTGAGGGCATGCTTGCACCCGATTACAATCTTATGATGATTTTATATTCGTAGACTGTCTACTTTTCCTCTTACTTTTGCTTGCCTTCTTTGCAATTAACTTTTCAATTTGAATAGTTACTCTTCAAAGGGAGCTAGGAGCTTGTTTCCTTTTTTACCCCTTATTAGAGATTTATTTCACATTTTAACTCATCTTTGAAATTATTAATTCGAATATCATGTTGCCTCATTTTTTCTAGGAATCTTCAAATGCCGCAACAGCAAAAGATGAGGATGAGATTGTTAGTTTAGATGTGAAGGGTGCTATCATCTTTGTCATAACTGCATCTACTTTTCTTGTGCTAATGTTCTTCTTCATGTCATCGTGGTTTGTCTGGGTGCTGATATTACTTTTCTGCATTGGTGGTATTCAGGTAATGTTGGTCATTCCTTTGGCTGAACTCTTCTCACTCATTAAGTAAATATTATTTTTCATGATGTGCAATTGTGCATTAAGGGCATATTAATAATTTGTTATTTCTTTCAAAGAGGAAAATGCCATAGCCATCTGCTTGCTACAGAGATGTTCTTAGAAAATAAATTTCCAAGGGCCAAACACAATCAGGCTGTCTACAACAGATATCCAAATTAATGAGGTGAAATAAAATCAGGACTAGGTAGATGGGAAGGCTTGCACTCTTGCTGGGTGCTCACGCACACATGCATTGTGGCAGCTCCCTCCATTCTTTTCTTTGTAATGTAAGGCCTTCAATTCAGAGATCAGTTACAAGACAAACTCCTAAAGGCAATGATAAGAGAGAGCTGTAGTACTCTTAGATGATAATAAACTCAATCATTTAACACTCCCTCTTTATTTGTGTCACTTATCTTTGAATAGCACATTTCTCAACGTTCCCAAATAAGAATTTTGTTTTGTTTTCTTTTCATCCCCTTTCCATATATCAATGATCAACCAGTCATAGTAGAATTTTGGATTTGAATTACTTGAAATTCTTTTTTGGTATTTGCTCATATAGCATCTTTTTCCTGTCGTCAAAATGCTCTGGTTTCTTTTGAATTCTGAAGAAAGTCAAATAAGGGATTTTAGTTATTTAGGATTTATGTTCTTGAGCTTTCAAGTCATTTTTTGTGTGTATGCGCTTCATTTATAATTATCTCTCTCTTGGTAATCAATTTTGATAATTTGATCCTCAATCATCTCCTCTTATCAAAGGAAAAACTAATGTTATATGGTCATATTATGAAGATTTCTATTACCTGGTAAGATTGATCTGCTCAAAATCATAATATCCCTAAATGCTGATTAAGTATTCTACCTTGATTTCTCAAGCATATTGATTTCATACCAACATATAGTTAATGTTCATTGCTGCTTATATTTTGCTAATTGAGCAATGCTCTTGATATCAGGGAATGCACCACTGTATTGTGAGTGTGGCTTGTAGGTACAATCAATACTCAAGTTTTGCTTTTTCTGCTTGCCAAAAACATATTGTCTTCTCTTTCTGTTTGTTTTATGTACTGATAATCTCTCTCTCTCTCTCTCTCTTTAAATATATGGGCAGAATATGTTCAAAATGTGGGAGGAAGACTGTGAATATCCCCAAGGTTGGGGAGGTTTCTGTTTTCTCACTTGTAGTGATGTTAGTCTGTTTGGCATTTGCAATTTTCTGGGCTGCTACTCGGCGGGAATCATATTCATGGGTTGGGCAAGATATTCTTGTAAGTTTCACTCTCAGTAGCTAGGAAATGTTTTATTATTTTGTGTTTTTAAAAATGTTATTATTGCAGTTTTTAAATCTAGAGATGAATTAAGCTTTGAAGCAGGGTTTTATGTAGTGCTTGCTGACAAAAGGTCAATCTCTATTGATACTGAATGAAACACACACAAAAGAAATGAATCAAATGCAAATTCCGAAAATCAGTAATTATGATAACTACACTATTAATGATCTCCCCATAAATCTGGAGGATAATATTACTCATGCCAAACTTGCTAGTTAATATCTGAAGATTGAATTGCAAAAGAATAAAAAATAACAACTGTGTAATAAAACGTGAAAATTGACCCCAACTCGTTTAGAGAGAAGCTGGAATCATGTGTCATTTAGCTTACCTCCTTTAGCTCGACCCCAAGTGGCTGACATCTTAACTATAGCTATGTCAGTGTTGAATTTGAAGAATTGACTTGCTAGTTAGGTATGTTCAACATATGCAAGCTGGGCTTAAGGGAGAGTGTTGGAGTCTGGTGATTTTCTACCCATTATCTCTCTATCCTCTCCAAATCTGATGGATTAATGGAGCAGAATTTCAGAGTGTTGCTTTCCTTTTTTGAACCCTAGTATATGACTTTATTATATTCTATTAGGCTCTTAATTTTGTCTATTCTCTATCTGTTCTTGTGAGTGATTGGCTGACTTTGGATAATAGGGGTTCTACAATATTTTATCATCAGCTTTAATTTAAACTTTATCAGTTTTGATTGTTTGGATTTGAGTGCCAAGGGTTTGTTGCTTTTTGTTCCCATATATGTTCAACTATTTGCACTCAATTCAAGTTCAGAGGATCATTGAAGCCTTGATTTTCAACATATGTATGTACACATGTTTGTAGTTTGTACACACATAATAGGAAAAGCTATACTAGGGATGAATTAGAGGTAATCCCCCAAAAAAAGAAAAAGAAAAATTCAGTAATTACATTAGCTACACATCAGTCATTCCCTGATAATGTGTTATGTAATTAATAATTAATTAGGATTTAAATATAGGTTATTTTAGATATATTTGGATATGATTTATTATTTGATAAGTTCAGGATATAGTAACAACAAGCCTTATTCCATCAACTACCAGGTGGGGTTGGCTACATGGATTGTACGACGTCATTTGATAAGATTAGGATATCTATTTATTTTAGAATATTTGGGATTTAGATGAGATTTATGATTTATGATAGGTTAGATAAAGTTTGATATTTAATTATTTTATTATATTAGTAGAGTTTGAATAGAATTTGGATAGATCTTATGCCTATAAATAAGAGGCAATATTGTACTTATTTTGCAGGCTTGAGTTTATTGAATTCATATTCAGTTTCTATTGCTCGGTTTCTTCTCTCTTTTCTCCCTCCCTCTCTTCTTTCTATTTCTACTCATCATTGGCATTAGAGCTGAATGATCCTCGGCAGCATTCATGCCTAAGACTCGTACCTAGAGCAGTCTCTGAAATATGGCTGAACAATTTGAAGAATGTGTCAAGGTTATTGAATAAGAGTTATGGTAGTTTTCTTCTTTATTTGGAACGTTACAAGTGTTGTCAGCCCAGGTTGCACAGCTAATTTGTGACACAGGCGATTCTGCTGGAGGAAGCAACGGGACAACAATAGACATGGTCATCCAAGAGCCTATCAACCTTCCACACAATTTACAAAAATGGAGTTCCCTCGTTTTCAGCATGTGGTGTCACAAGCTGGATTATCAAATGCAAAAGGTATTTTCAACTTGATGAGAGCCCAGAGGAGTGGAAGATTACCATGGCAAGCCTACATCTTGATGAAGGGCTTTTCAATGGCACCAAGTGTGGGAGCAAACAGATGAAGGGGGGGTGCGACCGCATGGGCTGATTACGTCAAAGCCTTGAAGACACGTTTTGGGCCTCCATTCAAAGCCCCAACGGGTGATTTAATGAAGTTGCGTCAGTCAGGCTTGCTAGATGCTTACAATGATGCCTTTGATGCAATTTTTTTTGAACTCCAACTATCAGAGGACTACTTTGTTCAGTCGTATATCGCAGGATTAGAAGAGAAATTCGTAGGCCAAGTTCAGATCTTGAAGCCATCCACCCTCCAAGAAGCTTGAGCCATTGGGAAACTGCACAATGTCCATATTCAGAACGTTAATGAGGAGTGAATGTTGCATAAGGTGTCAAGTTTAGCTCGTTTTAGCAATACCCACAATGAGCAAAGTGCGGGTAAAAACATCCATTCTGACTTTTATTCTTCCTCAAAATATGGTTTGGTTTCCTCTGTTCCTTTGTCCACCGGGTTCTCTTCAAAACCTAATCTGAAAATCACCAAATGATTGAGCCCAGAAGAAGTTGACGAGTTTTGGGCCAAGAACCTCTGTTTTTATTGCCATCAGCCATTCTTCAAAGGTCACGGTGTCCTCAGAAGCAGAAAATGCAATTGCAACTCATTGAACTTCATCTGGACTCTGAAGAAGCTATCACAAATGATACTGGGCAGATGTCAGAATTTCAGGGAAGTCTTGGAGCAATGAAAGGGTCTTCTGGATCAAGAAGCTAGTGGGATATTGCAGAAGCAGCATCCTTCTTTCAGCATTCAGACCCTTGAGGTCAAGGGTTTTTTGAAGGAGGGAGGATTGTTATGTAATTAATAATTAGTTAGGATTTAAATAGATTTATATTATTTTAGATTATTTAAATATATTTAGATATGATTTATTAATTGATGAGATTAGGATATTTATTAATTTTGGAATATTTGGGATTTAGATGAGATTTAAGATTTATGATAGGGCTGGATAAAGCTTGATATTTAATTATATTATTATATTAGTAGAGTTTGAATAAGATTAGGATAGATTTTATGCCTATAAATAAGAGGCAATGTTGTACTTAATTTTCAGACTTGAGTTATTGAATTCATATTCAGTTTTTATATCTTGGTTTCTTCTCTCTTCCCCCACCCCCCCACTTTCTATCACTACACATCATAATATGGATTACATTATTAATGAGAGGGATTTTCTCCCACACTCTAAATGGAGGTCATTTCATTTCTTTAATCTCGCTAAGGATACTGACTCTCGTTGGTAGGAGTGGGGAGGTAGATGGGCACTTTGGTTTAATGACAACGGTATAATTTGAAGTCGTTTGTAGGCCTGCCTAGTGCCTATTATCAATATTAGCATATTTCCAATTTAAATTTTGCATGCATATAGGATATTTAATCACTCAATTATAAACACGAAAACATAGATACTCACATTTAATGAATATGCATATTTATTTCTACTTCTCATGTTTATTAATGTGGAATTGTGATCTGATCTGCTTCTAGGATGGGTAAATGGTCTTCTTAAATTGTGTGTTTTTGTGTGTATTTTAAATGTAAGTGGTTACTATTTGTTGATGAGAAGCTATAGTTGACTCTTTATTGTGTGCTGTTCAGTTGTGAAATATGCTTTTAATCTTGACAGGGCATATGCTTGATGATAACCGTCTTGCAGTTGGCACAGTTACCTAATATCAAGGTAGCTTAATGGTTTCCTTCTTGCTTTTATTGATTATTATTTAATCATAGTCTGTTGTTTATACTTTATATGTTAAAAAAATTCTCCAAACTCAGTTTTTTGCATTTGATACCATAGGTTGCTACTGTCCTCCTCTGTTGTGGATTCTTCTATGACATCTTTTGGGTGTTCATATCTCCAGTATTTTTCCATCAGAGTGTCATGATCACGGTAAAATTGTGCTTTTACTTGGTCAGGTTTCTGTTTTCTGGTTTCTCTAGTTGAAGTTTGCATTTTAAAAATTGAGAACATAGTTTATAATATATTGAAGTAAAATTCAGCACATCCAAGTTTGTAGTCACTTTTATGCTTTTGGTGACTAAACTGGACTATATAAACCCAAGGTGTTGGACCGGTTGATTCAGAAAAACTTAGAAGCCTAAAATCTGCATAAAGATGTCTTCAATACATTTTGATAGTTTTCTTTGCTAGGTTGCTCGAGGTGATAAAGCTGGTGGGGAAGCAATTCCTATGCTTTTGAGAGTTCCTCGTATTAATGACCCTTGGAATGGTTATGACATGATTGGATTTGGAGATATTCTCTTTCCTGGTTTGCTTGTTTCTTTTACTCACAGGTACTAATTTATTGATTTCTTTCTTTCTTTCTAACCATTGGTGTAAAGGTGAGATTTATAAAATTAAACATGCACACAGCTTTTTCTTCGGAAAGTTCTTTAACATAACAGCATGAAGGAAGAACAAGGACCTTATTGATATTTGTTGATGTATGAAGGGAGAGGATTGGGAGAGTTACAATCTTTTTGATCTACTGACATCTCTCTGTCTCTTGTGTTGTGCATTATGAGGTCTGAGGAGTGTACTACATGGGGTTAGCCTAGCCTATTATTATCAATTTATTATCATGCCCAGGGTATTTTTTGTTGATGACTTCTAACAAACATCCTTTGAGAATGTATTGCGTATATTACTCAGAACTGCCTAATAATGCTGATGACTTCTATCAAACATCCTGTAACAATATGTTGCTCATTGATTGAAATATTAAGCCAAACAACTTAATGATGTTGATTTGCTATTCCTAGAGAATTGTTATGTATATTTTAATGTTTGGGGCAGTTTTGGTACAAATATGCTACTTCTTCATTGTTTTCGTTCTGGATTTTGGTTGTCTCAGATTTGACAAAGATCAAAAGAAGGGAGGACTAAAAGGATATTTTCCTTGGCTGATATTGGGCTATGGAGTTGGTGAGTTCTTTTGCAACATGTTTTTGTTGAAACCTTGCTCATTTTCCCCCCTTTGACAAGTATTGTTTTAGCTGAAAGCGGTATATGCATTTTTCCTTCCGTACATTATGCCAAGTATTTTGTGGACATCATTTAATGATTGATTGATGCCAGCTTGCTGAAAATAATCCTATGGTCAATCGTTATGGAGTCTATGCTAATTCTTTGTTTAAAATGACTTACAAGTCTATATAGGCGTCATGGTGCTCAGTTGGATGATTTCTAGGGCAGTAGATAGGGGTTTTATTGTGGATACAAGCTGATTTGGAGAATGTTCTGGTTTCTCGACAATTTGCAGATAACATGATAGTGAGAAATGGTAAATTTTGCTAATATTTTCTCTCTCCTGTGAGTATTTGAAATGAAGGATTGAGGATTAATTTGGCCTAGATGGCTGCGTCGGTTGTGGATGATCAGATTCACCAATGGCCTCTAGTTTTACTTGAGTGCTCTCTTAGGATGAAATTAAGAGCTTCTTCCTCCTGGATCCAGTGATCAAGAGCTATTTCCTTTGTAGCCTTTCGGTGGTACCAGCGGATGAAATGCTATAAGCCTTTGGCTTCCGTTTCTTATGCATGCTCACCCATTTGTCTTGCGAGCTTGTCAAAATTAAAAAAAGAGTCAAAATTAAAAAAAGAAAAAAAGAAAGAATCTCTAATTTCCAATGGGTTTTGCTGATGATCCCGGTTCTGTGATTGTTTATGCCCCATGTTGATCTAACATTTTTGTTTTGTTGAGAAAATCTGAGAGGAAAGAATACCAATGGAAACCTCTCATTAATCAGTAACAATGATTACAAAACATTCCTTCACTGATTACAAAACTAATCTGACAAGGGTCCAAGTTAGCATAACAGACCCATAATCACTTATCAACGCAGAAAGAGGAGGAAGATAAGAGAACCTGATGCTGTTATGCAGATTATGAAGGATTTACCTGATTTAAATTAATTCTTTGCTGTTATTTTAATTGATTATTGTTTTGTTTTGCTGTTAGTAACTGTTAGTAGCTAAAAAATAAGACCTTCACTTCGTTTGTGAGGTGCCCACTTGCTAGTCAGTTAATTTCTGATTTTAGGCTAATTATCTGCATTATTTAATTTTTTTAATTGTAATTTCTGGTTATAAATATCCTTGCTCTTATAACAGCAGGATATCATTGAGAATAAACCTTGTTTTCCCTTGGAGATTCTCCTATTTGGCTATTTAAGTTTCTTTGAGTGAGATTCTTGCTCTATTTAATTTAATAGATTCTTCCTTTTCCTTCATAATTATTTTGAGCCCCTACCATAATCAACCCACTTGGGTGATGAACAAACCCCATTTGGGGACTAACCATGAGGTGAGGATCAAGTTAACTTCTCTCTTGAGGTAGGATTTCAACCCCCTAACCTCTAAACATAGTATGACACTCTTTTATAGAACTTAGGGTCCATAACTAACTAATGTGATTAGCACTAATCACACATCAATACTTGAATATTCCAACATGTTTTATTGCATGCTAAATTTAATGCTCTTTAGCTTTCAGCTGCTGATACAGGTTCTCTTCCTGTTTCAGGTCTGTGTTTGACATACTTGGGGCTTTATTTGATGGACGGTCACGGACAACCTGCACTCCTTTACCTTGTTCCGTGCACACTAGGTAACTTCTTTACTATTGTGCTTGGGTTGGATGTTCAGCAGGTCCTCATTTTGCGGGACTGCAAGAGTTTGTTTTCTGGTTGATCGTGTCGCTTGGATTTAGATTCATGCACATCTGTTAATTTTCCAATGAAATCAACAGGTACTACGGTTGTGTTGGCATGTATTAGAGGTGATCTGAAGACCCTTTGGAGTTATGGTTCCGACTCGTCTAGAGAACCTTCTGATGTTTAATTCATAATTTTTTTCTACTGGCACTTGATGAAGAAATTGAACTCCTGCAAGTTGGAAAAACGATTCTGCCGCTTTGATATCGGTTTAACATGATGCAACTAATATAATGGTGGGAAAAGATGTCCGATTTATCGGCAACTCCATCTTGAGCCTCGTTGATTTTGTTTTGTAACTATACGCCAATGTTCCTGCAGCCAAGTTGTAGTGCTTGTCGATAGAAAAGCTTGAGAAGGGGGGGGGGGGTAAGTTTCTGTCCTGTAACTTACCGTTATGTATGTGTAGCAGTTGTTCCATTCTTCATTATCGTCTTCCAATGGTGTTCCCTTGAATACAATTAACGCAGTTTCAGTGCTTTCTGTAAGGGCCGACAAAAGATCTAAATTTGGTGGGGCCTTGCTTAGAAGAGCTTGACTTCATACTAGCTTGAGACTCATTTTGATGTCTGTGTATATATAAATGTATACATACACACATGACTAACTGCACATTTATTTGCGATACGCATTGCATTGTTTTCAACATCATCAAGCATACAGGCGCACAGATTGCTAGAACATGAACGATAAGTTGATAAGTATAGACAGGAAAGCTGAGGGATGACTCAGAATTTTCTAGAGAAACATTCGAAGACCATCACATGTTACTTCGACCTCGCATTGGACGAACATATTGGAGCATGATCTTGTACCTGATATCATATTACGGAGAAATCTTGGACTGGACTCAAAATCGAAAATACTTTTCATGTCGAATTAACTCATCAAGTTAATGTATGTATATACGATATAAAATAATGATTGTTGACATGTTCAATGACTAAGGACCAAAAAATTGGAGGAAGGAGCCGTTGGCTCGTAAAGTTATAATACTCAAATTTGAGACGTCATTAAAGACGTATTGGGGCAATTGATTTGCACCATTGGCTCGTGACGTTATCTTTTAAATTTGATCTATTACGTGTACAAGGATTTGTAATTAACTATTTCTAAACGAATTTAATAAAATATCATTACTATATTGACAATGAAATTTAATCTACATCATGCAAATACGCTGGCACAAAAAAAAAAGAAAAGATACAAATATAATGGTGATAAACCTAGTGAAGGGCGTTCTTTTCCGTTTTGGTGAAGCGTAATGGGCTTGGTGGCTTATTTCTTTGTTGGCATCTCTTTGGACCCATGACAATGAAAATGATACTAACCTAGCAAAATATTGGGCCACTAATAGCTGATTGTAGCCCAACATTTTAATGACCTGGTCATCGCATGTTTTCGTTTTCCTGGTTTCGGATGGCTCCTCCTTCCAGAAATCAATCGCACCTACGTTTCAACAGTACTTCCTGCTTAGTACTTCCCTTCCAGGCTTCCACTCTCACACTCACACTATTCTCGGCTCTGAAGCGGAATTCCCCTCTAGCTCTCTCACTACCACTCCCTCATCCTCAGGTTGTGTAGATTAAACTTCATCTCATTGTCGCCTTCGGAATTTATGATGTTTCAGAGCTGATTTGACATATAAACCTTTCGATGCTTGCGAGGAGGGAAATTTGCCTTTGAATTTCGAAAAAAAAAAAACGGGGAGGGGGTTTTCATGTCAGTCAGGCGGGTCACTTTGAGCCCATAGTGGTGAATTCGATAACATCCTTTTTATTAGACCTCTTGGATGTCTAATAAATATGTAGTATTCAGTTGTCACCAATCCCTACTACAAACAGCTTTCACTAGCCTTCAAGATAAAATAATATGTTTGTTTGTTTTAGACTTGTAATAATGCCTTTTGCATCAACATTTAAGTTTTTTTTTCTTTTTCATTTTCCATCAGCAAGAGTGACTGGGGATTGTATATTTTCTTGTTAACAAAAATAAATAAATAAAATAAAGCATCTGTTGTTTGTCTGCTGTAATTTCATAAATTGGATTCGTGGGTTCGATTATTAGTTTAATTAGATACTCATTTTCACTCTATTGGCAGCGATGAGATGGCTATTCATGGAAGGGAAGTTCTGAAAGGTGGAATTCTAATTACACTTTCATGCTTGTTGGTTACTTTTTTTGCTTTGCTTTGCTTTGTTTTCTCTTGTTTAGAGCGCTGGCATGCTAATGAACTCAGTTTTAAGGTCCTCTGTTGTAATTCTCCCGAATATATACCTGCTGCAGTTACTATGCCCATCGCTTCTATAAGATTCTGGCTTTTATTAATTTGAGCTCAGACTGGGAAATGGGAATCGCACTTGGATTGCTTCTATATTAGAAACCGGCTTCAATATCACAGCCCTTGTTGATAAGAAGACTTTTACAGTTTACTACAACAGCAACAACAAGCGTTATTGCACTAGGTGATTTGCCAATAAAAGAAAAAAAACTACAATAATGGCACAAAACTTGGATCGTTTGAAAGATGTGATGCCTGACATTCTTTCAAGGTTGCTGGTGAAATCCTTAAGGCGATTTGCATGCGTTAATAAATCTTGGTGCCACCTTATCAAAAGCCCAGACTTTATCTCCAAACACCTTTGCGCCTTCAATAACCACATTAATTTGACAGATCCTTTTAATCTCCTTGTTAGCCATGCTATTAGTGTTCTTTCTAGTCTTTCTGGCCATGCTAAACATCCTTTCCTTTCTGTCGTCCATCTCCTCTCTTTCAACCCAGCCACCAACACAATCTCTCACAATCTATCTGACTTAATCTATAACCACGATGATGGAATTTTTCCGTTTGGATATTTTGGGTCCTTGCAATGGTTTATACTGCCTTAATAGCTCTCCCATTCGAATTGTCAACCCATCCATGAGGGAGTTCAAAACGCTTCCAGATACTCCCAATCCACTCGAAACTTACTATTTGACAGACTATCTTGGGTTTTGATTCGATCCCAAACTGATGATTACAAGGTGGTCATGATTATGGACACGTGGCAACGGGAAACAGATGAACCATTGCCTTGGCGTGTTGAGATATGTTCTCTGAGCACTGATTGTTGGAGGAGTGTTGATTGCCCTCTGCCACCTGTTCACATCCGGAGTAGCTCTTGGATGGATACTTTTGTTCATGGAGCATCTCACTGGTCGGCCATTGATGCTGCTAGTCATTTAGACATAGTTCTTGCATTTGACATGCTGAATGAAGCATTCCGAATAATCAGGCTGCCAAAGGTTTGGCCTTCTGAGCGTGTATATGATGTTATTGTTACCAAGTTCAGGGAATCTCTTGCTGTGATTGTATATCCTAGTAGTGGAACTGAGAAGTGCTTTGATTTGTGGGTGATGGAAGATTATGACAAACAAGGCTCTTGGACCAAGTACTCCACTATTGGACCCATTGTAGGAGTAAATCGGCCATTGGGACTCTTTGGCAAAAAAGGCCTATATCTTTTTGAAGATAACGATGGGTGGATGGTATTTTATGATCTCCAAACTGAAGAAATGAGACACTGAATTTCATGGAGAGGAAGATTCCTTACAGGCTGCTGTGTACTTGGAGAGCCTAGTTCCACTATGAAGAGATGATGAAAGCTCCAAATCAGCAATGTTTTCCTTTGGTAATACTCTTTGCCCTCTCTTTTGCTGGCAATTCACTTATTCAGGGTGAAAGTAATGTTTTCCTTGATGGTGTTAGTTGCTGAGCTGCTTCTTTTGCCTTTTCTAGTTACCGCAAGTTGTCATGTAATGCAAGTGAAGGCGTGTTATTTCTTGATCCCCCCCCCCCAACTCATACTAATTTTCAATTTAGGCACCATAGTTCTTTTTTTTTTTTTTCCATATCACCTCCTGATGCCATATAGTGTAAAACCAACTCCTTCGTTAATCCAGATAAGAAAATGTAGTCAATATTTTGCTGATACGCTGAATGCTTTGCTAACACGCAACACACGAATATTTACTTTGCAATTTTTGTCATAAGTAAGCCATGCTGCATGATTGATGGAATGGTCTTGTCCTTTGCGTGCAACACAGGTTCAGAAAGCAGGGCCTTGTGAAATAGCATTGTTCGTTGAACAGAATGGCCACGCTGGATAGAATAGTATGCGCGGGTGTTGTGTTTCTTCAAGTGGCAAATGTAAAGGTGCAGAGAAATGGCAAGCAAATATGAAAATGGTGAGTTCATGGAGTTTAAGGTTAGACCTGATGGCAAACTTCGCTAGAGTAGGGACATAGAAGTCCTTTCTCAGCTTTCTTTTTCACCCACACTAGCGGAGAACTACTTGATTGCCCCCCATCATTACTTTCATCCTGTGTTTCAGATGATCAGAGAACTAAAGAAGAAAGCCTTGGGACCTAGTGTAATATTAATTCACAGATTACAACATTAGATGTAAATGGACAGAAAAGCGGAGGGATGACCCTGAATTCTCAAGAGAAGCATTCAGAGCCCGTCACTTATTATCATATTACAGGAAAATCTACTAGTAGACTCAACATCACAAATACTCTGGATATTAAATCAACTTAGCAAGTTGATGATTGATTACTTTACTTAAGAATGACTGGGATAATACTGAGGGCTCAGCAATGAGGTGGGTGAGGAAGGTTGCACTTGGCAGGGAGCTGCAAGGCAAGGTTTGGATCAATGCCAAGAGAAGGCAAGAGCTTGGAGTTCCTATAGGAGCAAAGGCAACGCATGTCAGCACGAGAGAGTGCGGAGCAGCAATCTCCAGATGGAGTGGCTGGGTTTGGAGGCGTCACTGATGGCTTGCACGCCATTAGACCACTGATCGGGACGTTGCATATGGTTTGGCCATTGATGCTTGAAGCTGCAACTGTGAGCAACACTACCACCAGAGCCAAAGCTCTCACTCTCCTCTCTTCTAACCCCATCTCTTCTCTTCACACAAGTATGCTTCTCTTCTCCCTTGGTTTATGGATTTTTGGGGAGGGGGTGCTTATGGATTTATAGTGGGTGGAGAATTGAAATGATCACAGACAAACGTCAATTTTCTAAAACGACATTGATATGGAATGTTTTGTTTGATTCCTCACCTATTTTTTCATGTTCGTGTTGTCTTTATGAATTTGAATTTAGACTGCAATTGGAAAAAGAAAATGGCTCGCTTTGCCTGTGAGTGGAAGGAGGAGCAACTACTGCACTATCACGGGTATGGGATATGTGGCTGCCCGCTGTCCTGCAAAAGTGGAGGCTTTAAATTTAATCATTTCTCTTTACGTTCATCAAATCATATTCTGGTAGCTGCAGATCAATACACAATATTTTTATTATATTATTTTTTGAGCCGTTCTAATTTATATAAAAAAGAAAAGGAAAATTGTCAAAGAAAACTTGACCCGACGTCATTTTGCCAAAAAGGACTTGGGACATCAGGTCTTTCACGGGCATTAATTTGGAACTTTCAATGATCAGATTGCCCTTTTGATTAAGAAAAAAAAAAAAAAAACTAGTTGAGCAGCTTCTTATTGTCAATTTGTTGCAAAAGGTCCTTCACTGTTAATAATTTGATAATAATATGTAAATGTGGTCCTTAGTGTCAATATGTCAAGCAAATGTGTGAATTTTTAGAATATTTAAAATGATTATTTGAATAAATGAAAGAAAAATTATATTTTCATAAAGGTTGTTGCATGTTGTGAAAGAAGGGTTGTATATGGTTAGAGATAATTATATATGGTTTTAAAATATAACATTAAATGTAAATGTTTAGGATTTTCAAAATGATTATTTGAATAAATAAAAGAAAAATTGTATTTTTTTGAGGGGTGGTTGCATATTGTGAAAAAGGGGCTGCATGTAGTTGAAAATACATGTGTATGGTTTGAAAACATAACATTAAGTATAAATTTTTAGGATATTCAAAATGATTATTTGAATAAATAAAAGAAAAATTATATTTTCTTGAAGGTTAGTTGTATGTTGTAAAAGAATGATTGTATATAGTTGGAGATACTTACATATAGTCATAAAATATGACACTAAGTGTAAATTTTCATGGTATTCAAAATGGTTATTTGAACAATGAAAACAAGAAGCCTTATCACATTGTGTGAGGTTAGCTATATAAAGTATATGATATCATTGTACTTTATCATTTATTAAACATTTAAAAATGTTATTAATTCAAAGGTCAAAGTCAATAATTTTTTATAAGTGTTTTCCTTGGCCTTTCTCTACCTTTCTTGACAAGGCTTAAACTTATTCATTTCACTCTTTTCATCGGTGTCTCTCACGATCTTTTTTGTACACGTTCAAATTATTTTAAATTCTTTTCTATTATTTTCCCCTTGATAGGTGTTACACTCCTTTTTTCTCATATGTGCTTATTTCAGATTTTATTTTTATGTGTATACTTGCATATTCATCTCAATATTTTCAACTCTGTTACTCTAACTTTATGCTCTTGATATCCCGTTAATGCTTAACATTTATTACTATATAATATAGCTGGTCTTATAATAATTTAATAAAACTTTTTTTAAAATTTATTAGATACCTTACGATCGCAAATATTTCTTTAGCTTTTTTCTAATTAAACTATCTAGCTTCTATCCTATGTGCAATATCCCTATCAATTTTTCCACCCATCATATTAAATAACAGCTCTTAAATATATAAACTTTTCTACTTGAAGTATTATCTAATCTTTTAATTTTACTTTTAAATTACTACTAATTGACCTTTTTTGAAAATTATAATGCAAATATCTTGTCTTACTCTTATTTAGACAAAAATATTTTGACTCTAATGTCATCATCTTTCTTCATAACTCAAGTTTATAATTAATTTTTCTCTTATTTTCGCAATAAAGGGTGGAGATAGGGAGGACTAACAGGGACCATGGTCTCCCTTAACTTTTTAATTTTTTTCTTAATAAAATATAAGGGTTATATATTTTTGACCCCTTAAATTGATATATTATAAAAGTCTTGAGATACTGAATGGAATTCTCATTTCAATTCTATAGTAGCCTTTTACGGATGTATAGTCCAACTATTATAGTAGTTTGATGATATAGTTATTGTAGAATCTACTTATTTTTAACAATATAATATTATAATTGCTTTAAAGCATTGATATCATTTGATTTTGCATTTATTTAATATTTGATAAAAAAATTATGAAAATTATTATTAACAAACTTTATAAAGCATTGTAACAATAATCATAAAATATATTAATTGAAGAATATATTAATTGAAAGAATTAAATATTAAATTCAATAGGCAAGTAATAGAGCTTTTTATATTAAACAAAACTTTAAATCTTAAAGACGCATTTAAATTATTCAATATTTATGGGGAAGATGAAATCTTTGCCAATTTAATGATAATTTATAATAAAGAAATTTTTAAAAATTTGATCATAAATATGATGATTAATTATTCTCATGCTATAAAAAAATAATGAGAAACAATTAAAAAATAAAGATATATATATTTATTTTTATTATATATGTGTGTGTGTAAAATTGAATATAAATATATAAGTTGAAATATTTATGTCATGTTAATTCTATATATATATATATATATATATATGTATATAATTTTCTTTCAATTATCACATATATTTTGTCATTTCGGCCCTTCAAAAAAATTTTCTAGTTCTGCCCTTAGGCCAATAAGAATTATATCATCCAAAAAAAACATGCATTTGAGGATTTTTTCTTGAATATGCTCAATCAAAGTATCTAAGATCATGTTAAACAAATAAGAACTCAAAGATGATCCTTGATGTAATCAAATCTTTATAAGAAAGTTCTTTGTTTCATCACCAGATGTTTCTATACTAGTTGTTGTCCCCTCATATATATCTTGATAGCTCTAATATAGGCAACTTGGACTCCATTCTTTTTTAAGGCTTTCTAAAGTATTTCTCTCAGTACATAGTTATAAGTTTTTTTTCAAATCAATGAAAATCATGTGTAAATCTTTACTTTTGTATCGATTTTTTTTCATTAATCTTCTTAATAGATAAATTACTTCTATAGTCGCACTACCTGATATGAAGCCAAACTGATTCTTAGAAATATTAATCTCCAATCTCAACCTATGTTCAATTATTCTTTCCCACATTTTTATTGTATAACTCATAAGTTTAATCAAATTGTAGTTAGCACAATTTTAAATATCCCTTTCATTTTTGTAAATAGGAACTAAAATGCTTCTCCTCTAATCTTTAGTTATTTTCTTGAATTGTAAGATCTCATTAAATAATTTAGTTAGCCAACATACCCTTTGTTCACCTAAATATTTTCACACTTCAATATGGATACAGTCAGGTCTGTTGGCTCTATCATTTATAATTTTCTTGAGAACTTCCTTTACTTCACTATCGTGTATCCTTTAATAGAATAAAAAAATTTATTCTCTTTCATGAGTTATTAAATTCTCCAAATTACTAGACAAATCCTCTCTATCATTGAAAATTTTAGAAATGTAAGTCTCTTATATGTCTTTAATATCTCCATTTGTGATCAAAACTTTTCACCAAGGTACGTAAAACCGGACCGGTCATTAAACCGGTCATGGCACTGGGTCACGGGTTAGTGGTTCAATCAGGGTTGAACCGGTGGCAAACCGGTCATGATTAAAATAATACAATTTAAATAAAAAGACATTAATTATAAAAACATTCAACCAAATCCAACCACTCAAAAGTCTAACAATAATAAAATACTATATTTTTGGACTTAGCATGCTCTATCTCTAATTTTTTATTTTTTGACTTCAATTTTACTTTTTTTGGTATTTTTTTCCGAACTCAGAGCTCTAAAAAATTAAAAATGAAAAAAAAATCAAAAACGACGTCGTTTTGGGGTAAAAGTCTGAAAAAATATTAACCCGGTTAACCCAGTCAACCCACCGGGTTATCCGGGTTATACCGAGTTGAACCCGGGTTGGTCGGGTTACACCGGTTCACTCCCTCACCGGGTTAAGAGCAAACCCAGACCGGACAGGGGACCGGTTCACCGGTTTCCGGATTGACCCGGCCGGTCCGGTCCGGTTTTCAATACCATGCTTTTCACGCTTCATCTCTTATGCAATTTGTTTTAGATTTTTTGATTTTCTTTCCTTACTCTTAGCAATCTTATGTTCTCCATCCTTTATCCTAAGACTATTGTAAAACTCTTCAAATGCTTTAGAATGAGTTTCACTCACAACTTTGTTAGTTTTCTTCTTAGCCATACGATCCTTTTCCTAATTTTCATCATTATTGCATAAAAGGATGGCTTTAAAACACTATTTTTTATGTTTGACTTTTTCCTATACACTATCATCCACCACCAAGACTCATTATCTTGGACTAAAATCTTTTGATTCTCCTAAAGCTTCTTTAACAACCATTATTACCTTCTTAGCTATATCCTCCAACAAGATACTAGCATTTCATTAAGACTCTGAAATTCCTTTGGCCAAAAGATTTAGTTTAAAAATTTCTTGCTTTTCACCTTTTAACTGTCACTACTTAAGCCTTGAAGTTACCACTTGCCAATGCTTTTGTTTTTTACTCATAATATACACCTCAAGGACAAGGATTCTCTAATGTCTCTATGGCGTCTAAGAATCACCTTAGAATTTTTATAGAATCTTCTATCAATGCTCTCTATCGAAAGGAAGTCAAATTGCGACGTTGAGGCCACACTTGTAAGTGATAAAATGTTTATCCCTTTTCTTAAAACAAGTGTTGGAAATCTTGAAATTATATGCCAAAGAGAAATCAAAAATAGATTGTCCTTCATTGTTTAGCCCCCCAAAATGAAAACCACCATGTACCCTCACATAATGACTTGCCTCCATCCTCACACGACCATTAAAGTCTCCTCTAATAAAGATCTTTTTACTTTGTGATATGCATTGAATCAACCCCTTTAAGTCTTCTCAAAATTATTCTTTAAGATCAGCTTTTACCTTAATTTAAAGTGCATGAACGCTAATAACATTGACAGTCTCATATCTAACAATCATTTTTAAGGAAATAATTCTGTCCTCAATTCTTTTAACTTCTATCAACTTCTTCTTTCACTCGTTATCAACAATGATACCTATCCTATTACTTGTGCTTACTTTTCTTTTATACCAAAACTTGAAACCTTGAATATTCTTAGCTTGTTCATTAAGCCATTTAGTTTCCTGCAAGCACAAGTTATAAATTTTTCTATGAATCATAACTCATGCCTGTAACATCCTGATTTTTTTATATAATAAAGAAATTGTGGAATTT